TCCAGACTGGCATCTCATGGGTTAAAGACAGCTGCCAACATCTGTAGCCGTGGTTAGCTTTTAATTGTGAGGCCTAGCAAGTGAGCGAGCAGCATGGTGGAGAGGGGGCTGGCAGGCCTGCATATTTCAGCCGAGTGTTCACAGAGCAGCTTTCCGGCCAGCCATGTGGACTCAATGATGGCGTCCAGGGGTGTGCTGTGCTCCTATGAAATATTAAATCTGCTCGGCCCCCAAGTGTGGACAGACCACCTGCAAGCAAGCGTGGCGTGCGGCGAGCCCTGAGATCAGATGTCCCTTAGCAACACGCATGCACAAACACACAGATGTATCCATGAGAAAAACTATACTCGCCAATGTCCCCACACGGGATAAACATGTAGGTCTGCACATGCTTACACTAATGGACATAAACACATACAACAGAAAAAAAACACTGAGAACATGGAAACACTTAAACTGATGTGGGATGTGGGAGGAGAGATTCTTATAAAAACATATTTCCTGCGTGTGATAAAAAGAATGATTAGCAGTGAAAGTTTAGTATGCATGATGCTTCTCTGATATATAGCTGTAAAGCCACGGTGAGGTGGAAAGTTTAAATTCACATATATTTAGCTCAAATGAACAATGGATACAATCAGCAAAAGCAGTGAACAATGATGAAGAAGAAGAAGAAGAAGAAGAAGAAGAAGAAGAAGAAGAAGAAGAAGAAGAAGAAGAAGAAGAAGAACGAGAAAACACATCTTGGAACTTTCAGAGTCCAAAAAGAAACTTAATCCTACTTCAAAAAAGCAGCCAAGAGGACGACGGGTGCTTGTCGACTGCCGTCCTCTTCAGGGCCTCGTTCATTTACACGTTGTGCAGTCGGTCCTAAGCCTCCCCTCTGCTCCCCCGAGGCATCTCTGCCTGCCCAGATGTGCAGCTGTTTTTGTGCAGCAGCAACAAAAACAGCTGGCCTGGCCTCCACATCCTCAAAATGAACAGAGGGGGTCGCCATTCTCCAGATATACAGCTCTTGAGGAAGGAACTGACTGCCTCAGATAATCAGATTTCACTCACAACAGGTTCAAGAACAGTTTATTTTCTTCATCCTACACTGTTGGACCATTGAAAGAAGCAAAAGCTAAATTATACTGTTTGTAACGATGTGGCAAGTGGTGTTTTTTAGGGACTTGTGTAATTGTGTAAACTTTTAATAATCCATCTGATTTTCCACCTCAGGTTCAGGATTCAGTATTGACTGGAAATATCCTCATCCATCCCGTACAGCTGATGAACTTCTTATGTTGGTGAGAATGAAGTCTAACTGAAAGCATTTAAAGAGGCCAAACAAAAGTGGATAAATATCATATTCAGCATCATTTTTATGGCCTAATCACATACCAAACCACATAAAGTGTTTTGACAAAACAAAAAGATTGATGCATTACAAGAAACAGGCCCTAAACTTGCCTTGTTGCTTTAATATGATAACTGAATCCTCTAAATTACTTAATTCCTATATGGCATAATAAGAAGAATAGAAGAAGAAGAAGAAGAAGAAGAAGAAGAAGAAGAAGAAGAAGAAGAAGAAGAAGAAGAAGAAGAAGAATGGTGATAATAATAATAAAAATAATAATAATACCAGATACCTTGTCTTTGATTTTGAGTATGTATGTATTAACAAAATATCAAAAAAAATCTAAACATTAAGAATGTCACAGTAACCAAATAGCATTTCAAAAATTAAAAAAAGTAATTGAAACTTTTTTACATGTTCCAACTATCTGAATTCGTAAATTAGATTAGTAAATGTCAATCTAACCTTAATAATAGCAACTCGTGCCTCTTACAGTACCTACTGGCCATTCCACAGACACTACTGACCTCCTGTGGTCACTTTGTGTCAAGTATTCTTTCAAAATAAATGTTGTCTTGCTATGTGTCCATTTCTTGTTAGAGGGTGCCTAACCTGGAGACAGCTGCACACAACACAAGGGATCCAGATGAGATATTGCAAGGTTACAGTAAAATAAATAGGTTTATGGGTGTTTTATGACTTTCCATAGGCCGTACCGTGTGTTGTAGCAGACGTTTATGCTGAGTGGACAGATTTTACCAGAGCAGCTGTTCATAACATGATGTTGTCATTGACTGAGTCACATCCAATGCTGTTGCTAACAAGCTGCAGTGAGACATAAAATATGCATATATATCATCAGCGCACCAACCAAAAATCACAATGCTGCATTGACATTATTGCCAAACACTGATCGTTTTGTCTCCGGTTTATTTATGGTTCTGACCTCTGAACACCACCAACAAGTAAACCAACAAGTCATTTAGTAATAACCGCCAACTTCCATATACTAAAGTACTTAAGTTCAGATTTGAAGTTCTACTTGAGCATCATTATTTTATGCAACTTTATACTTCTATCCACTTACATTTCAGAGGCAAATATTGTACTTTTTACTCCACAATATATTTAACAGCCTTAGATAGTTTCTTTGCAGTTTCAGCTCATTGTTATAAAACATAAATCAACTAATAAATGACTAAATGAATAAATGCATTATCATAGATTAAGCTACCCACCAGTATATAAAGTAATATAAACTAACCCTGCTTTAACATTAAAGTGATTAACACATAAATGCATCACTAATCATAGTACAAATATGTAATATACATAATTCTGAAATGGGCCATTCTGCATAATGACAACTTTTACTTTGGTTATATATTTGGTTGCTAAAACTTTTGGAGTTTTATCTGTAGGTGCTTTTTTACTATTTCAGCTATTTCGTCACCCTGTTGCTAATATTGTAGCATTAAGTCACTGATGCATTACATTGCTAACTGTTATGTATTTGACTTGGACTTTATGTTGTACTTTCCATGTTGACTTAATGTAAATCTTCCACTAATGATACTTTGTTTCTAATTGGCAGCTTTTTAGTTTATACTTTTGTAAATTCAGTTTTCTTGTGTCTGAATCCTAATTCTTTTTTACAACCCTTTTGGTTTAACTCTTGTTTAAAGTGTCATCAATCATCTTTCTGTGGTGAGTAATCACTATCACATTTCGATGTCCAATACCGTTTTCACAGTTGCATGCTTCCACTGAAGCAAACACATCATTCAAAACTATATAAATTCTACTAAAATGATATTTCCACATCACAACTCTGCACGCACACACTAAATAAATAACTCTTTCCACATGCCAACTACACACACACTGACATACTAAAACACTATTGTCTACAGTCTTTGTCAGTATCATGCTGCAAATACAATGACAACCATTGTTGTGCACTCCATAGAACAAACCTGAATCCTTTTGGTTGTGTTGAAGCTCTGTGGTGTTTGAATGGCAGGGTTTAGCAAACAACACACACAGGATTTGGATTGGTTTTAAATCATGTGTCTAATGTAGACAACTGTTTGTATTTAATTGCAAAAAGTGTGTTTTAGAATATTAAACATAGTTTAAAGCAGGCAATGCACTTATGATTTAGCATACCTGGTCAATAAATTGCAAAAAAACAAACATGCATATCCTCTCATTTTCCCTTTTCCCCCACACTGTCTATCTATGTTTTTCAGTATCAGCTTGTTACAGATCTTCATTGAAGCTACAGTAGATCAGTTTGCTCTGGGTGAAGCATTCAGACCCTGAACACCACGGGTTTTATTTTCTATGGCTTTACCATTCCAGCAAATGGAAGTATTCTAGATGTCCCGTGCATCATTGTTATTGCCAGAATTTAGCCTGACATATGATTGTGGATAGTGTCGGATCTTCATTTCTTTGGGTTTGACCAATATTTTAACAAAAACGTTTTTTTTTAATGACTGATTTTGGTTGATTTTGAAGGGGTTAAAAGAAAACTCTTTGTGCAGCATTTTAATAGGGTTCACAACATGCCTGTTTCCTCACTGTCTGCCTCCCTGCCGGGCTTGTGTGCCATCTGCCACCCAAGAGATTTTATTAAAGGGCATTTGCAAACTGCCAGATTTTCGGAAGCTGTGAGCTGCATTATGATGTTGTGCTTTATGTCACCACAAAAATAATGAGGAGGTATCTCACGTATCAAAACGAGCTTCTTACCGATGCCCCAAACCACAAAAATAGACTTAGGGCTAGTAGCTGCTGTTTTTGTAAGACAGACACGTAGGAATCATATTTGCGTTTGATAAAATGTCTTCTTCCAAAATGATACTCTCTGTTTACTATTATGAATAAGACAACTAAGGCTTCGGTCACGAGGTGGCAGTAGAGGCCTACTGGCGTTTTACCATCTCCCCTTAAAACGGTAGAGCCTGCCTGTGCGCCTGCTTTCTCTGGGCCAAATGTACATAAAGTACGCTGCGTGCAGGGAAAAAGACAACTGGGCATTTTATAAGGTGTGAAAGTCAACGAGGCCAACTGTTTCCCAAAGGTCCTGACAATATCACAAACGCAGTGTGGTCCTGCAGGCTTATACTTTGAGGACATCATTTTGAAATTCATGAAACAGTCTGGTTGCATGTGTACTCTGCATGCTCTGTTTTATATGGCATGCTATATTAAAAGGCAAAACCCTGCAGGAGGACCATGCATTGCTGCTGAAACATGCAGACATTGACTTGCCCTTGGAATATATTTGTGAATGAACCGAGGCAGAGGAGCTCTATCTCCCTCTCTCTCCTCATTTGGATAAATGTCACGGATTACTAACAGGCGAATCAGTGTGTTTTTGTTTTTTTTGGTCATTCAAGAGGAGGTAAGACTGTCGTTTTGTTGCCTTGGAGACTACAAATTAAAAGCATCACGCAGTACCTTCTTGTCCACTCCCAATCAGAGGGTTCAGTCGCTGCTGTCGTCATCGTGACTGGGGCTCGAGTCACCTGCGCTCTGATTGGCTCCCGCTGATAATGAGCTGCCATTGAGAATTTCTGGCCTGTGCAGAGAGGAGGTGTGTCTCCGGCTGAACGAGCACACGCCTCTCGCTTAAATACTCAACACAGCTGAGGTGATGAGCAGAGGCACCAAATTGCGGAGCTGCGCCTTGTACTCAGACTCGTAACACAGTTACTTTAGGTTTACGTAAGCGTGCTTGTGCTGCCTTGGAGAGAACAAAAAAAAGTCGGAGAACTTAGAGAGAAGTCCGCTGCTGTAATTAGATCCCCCTAATCAGCAGAATTGACAGCAGGTGTGAATTCATGTCTGTATTTTCCCCGCAGATATACTGGTGAGTACTCGCATCTTTTCCCACTTTTGTTTGTGAGCAGCAGTGTGCGTGACAGAAATTAGCCCACTAAGTCAGGAATCAAACACTACTTTTGTTTGCACCTGACGGGTAAGGACAATGAAGTACTGTATATGTGCTTATGTGTTTGCTTGGTGAATTCCCTCAGAAGCGGACACCTTTTTTGTTACACCCACGCTTGTTTCCTTTTGAGATTCTCTGGTGTTGCCCGTAAGATTGGAAATGTCATGACACACTGATTTTGTGGGAATGAAAAGAAAACTCTAGGTCTCACATTTATTTTATTTTTGAGCAAATGGTATTCCAGCTTGATTAACGTTGCTGCATGTGCCAATTCAGAAAGGTTACCGTGATCACACTGTATCAGCTATTCAATTATTTATTTTTTACCTCGCAGCATGCAGGCTTACTTTGCTGTATCCTAAAACATTTGACTGAACTAAGATGCTGCTTTCCGTCTTTGGTGTTTAATGCTGCAGGTGCAGTGTAATTGGAGAAGCACGGCTGCAGTCTGCTTCTCCAATTACTTATAGGTGACATTTTTCAAAATATCCATCTGGCAATCAGCACCCTAACTGGATGATTTACTTCTTGACACAGGAATACAGAGTGCATCTTGGGAGCCGTTCTCTTATCTGTCGACTGTTTTCCTGTCTGTAGAGAGGAGAGGATGTGCAATTAGCTTTGAAACATTTGTTTTGCGAACACTGTTCAAACCTCAGCAGGCTTCTGGCTGTCTCTACCAGGAAATTCAGAGTCGACCTCTTTACTGTAACCACACTTCGCTCTCTCGTCTGTGCTTAACTTACAGTAGATCTATGCTCCTCTGTTCTGTGATTGCTACTTCTATGAGAAATATGAAAACTGGCCTTTTTTTATTTCAAAGGGATAACTAGAAATGTTTAAGCGTTGTTTGATTTGGATCTGTGTGCCGCAGGTTCCACTAAACCCTTTAAATGTCTGCACTGTGGCTTTTGCTCTGTGTGAATGGGAAGACATTTTTCTCACAATAGCAGTATCTCACCTAACGGGAGTATGTAGAAACCTTGGTGCATGCTGCTAGACGTATAAGGTTTAGATTTGCCCATCCCATCATTAAGATAAGGCAGTGGAGTGGTAACTGATCCATGTGTTTTCAGTGGCAGACTCGACTCAAAGGAATCTGGATACAACTCATTCATTCCAGCACACTACTCGGGGGGTCTTACTCGGTCCCCGCACCACCGACATACCTACAGAGCTGAATGACTCGGCTGGAGCTTTCAGCAGCTTTACCCTGTAGCCACACAGGCTGAGATTTATGATAGTAGTAGTAAGAACTGTGGGGTGTCAGAGGGGAAACAATGTTGATAACACAAGATGCATATTCCCCTCTTGTGCTTTGAGGTTGTTGCGAAGGCCAGTTGGGCTCCTGTCAGCACCACTACACTGGAGCTAGCATGGCCGTGGCCTTTTTTTTTCAGTCTTGAGACAGGTGGATGAACCGGTGTCATGCTTAGTTAATGACTGTCAGTCGTTGGGCATCTTGACCTTATTTGTTTTATAGATGAAGATGTAGAGCCAGTGTCGGATGGAGTTACTGACCGTAAGAACTAACTCTGTTAAAATGTGACTTCTGCCTACTATTGCTTAAATGGCTGTGGCATGAAAGGAGAGCTACTGGGAGTTATGGTCACTTATAATAAAGGGTAGGTCGATGTTTTACAAAGCAGGAGGAGACGTTGTCTTCTCATGTAGAGTGATTAAAAAAAAAAAAAAAAAATTTAAAAAAAATGTACTGGAAAGGATCATAAATTATTTTTTCCTGCAACTTAATTGCAAAATGCTCACGGGCTGCAATAAACGGTAGTTTTCATCATTGATAAATGTGCAATTAATTAATCGCGGTCAAAGACGAGGTTTCCAAATTGCTCATTTAGTTTGATCAACGTTTCAATGTCGAAGACTGCAAACTACTAAATATTCACACCTGAATATTTCAATTTTCAATCCTAAAATCTTGTAATCCTTCATACATGTGTTGTGGAAGCACCCCACATGACTGACTGTGTCTTGTACCTGCTGTCCATCTGTGCCGTGGCATTAGGAAGCTGGCAGGAACAGGTATGCACTATCTTGACTGGGTTAGGAAGTAAAGAGGTTACAATCAATCAGTGGAGGCCATTTGACAGAACATGTGACTTCCAGATGTGTGCTCTTGATGAAGACTCTAACTACATATGGTCCTTGCTGATCTCATGTACAGATTGCTTACTTATAGAGCACTTAAAAAGAAGTCTCTAGGAATCAAGTATTCCACTCTGTGAGGGACTCGCTGTTCAGCCCTTCTGCTTGACACTAGAAGCGGCGAGGGATGTGACTGTAATCCTTGTATGTTTGTTTCATCCCAGGTTGACTTGTTACTTGTGCACCCCCACTTCCTCCTCATTGTGCCCCTTTATGTTTTATTAGGCCGATGTTCTGTTATTCTTAGGCGAGCAGGATGTTTATACGATCCCCGACCAGAAATATGACTGGCAAGGCCTGAGTGTTTATCTTTCTTTCCCTTCCCTCCCTCTCTTCCCTTGCTCAGGTCTTCACTGTCACTGTTCAGCCCTCTGTCCCCACCTCCGCTGCTTTTTTGCATGCCTGCCTCACCCTCTCTGCATCCCACTTAAAGATGAAATTAGTTCAAGAGCAGCCCCAGCTGACATTGTTTTCCATGTCAAACCCTGCGTTTGACATAATGTAATTGCAGATGAAGTTTATTTGTAAAGGGATGTCTGTTTGTTAACCGTAGAAAAACTGAAAATACTTCATTTGAATGTTAAACGGACTTTGAAGCAAGATGTTTTGATGGATTAAGACTGGTGAATTGTGAAATTAATTCTGTGGAACACATGTTTACATAATCACCTTATTTTAAAACCATGTTTCAATCGCTACAAATTCTAAACCATTCTGCCGGCTTCAAATATATATATATATATATTTTTTTTTTTTTTAAAGGTTAAAAGTAGGTCGATCTCTTCCCCCAAAAAAACCCAAGTCCACTAAACCAGATGGTGTGAGTGAGCCTCTTGTTTAGCGTTTTCTTTGTTTCACATAGCTGGTGACCACACAAACCACAAGCCTTTGGCCACTGACCACAAGGCACCAGTCTTTAAATAGAGCGTGAGAAGGCCGCGCAGCATCATGTCTCAAGACAGTCTATGTCAGTCCTGGGATCTGCTTCACATCATTCTTTAAAGCTTTACTGCGATAATGCTGGATAGTGAATGTTCTGAACATGGATAAACAACCTCTTGTTACTTTAATCTAAAATGGAAAGTTTGGCCTCGCTTTGATGGAACGGAGTGCATCATGTTCCACCCCAGTCAAATACCACAGCACGCCCCCAGCACGCTCTTAATGACTGTTCTCTGGTTGCTAGTGCAAGAGAACATCCTCCTGTATTCAGAAACGGCCACCGTATGCAAGCCACATCATGAGCGGTGCAGCTTTGCAGTGCACTAGCATACAGAGCAAGAAGTGGATCCGTGGTGTGTTGTGGTCAAGATGTGCAGAGTATAAACAAAGCTGTCTTAACGTGCAGCGAGAAACAGTCCCAACTTTCAAGCTTTGACTGTGTATGAATATGAACAGCTTGACGGATGTGGTGGTTGCTGTTTTTCTTTTCAATTAAGAATCGGTCCCCTTGTATATTTAAATTGTACTTTAAAAGGTTGTGCGTACTGTACATTTTCTCTTGGGATGTCATGCTCTCCCATGATCACCATTGTGCTGTATCTGATCGCACAACCTATTTTTTTTTTTTTTTTTCTTTTTTGTTTTTTTTTTTTTTTTTTTTTTTTGTTCTGTCAACCCTGCAGCCCAGTGTTTGTACCCGGCCGAGATATGACTGAGGTGATGATCAACAGCACCCCCATGGAGGACATGAGGCTCAGCCCCAGCAAGGACAGACTCTCCTTCCAGGTAGGACACACACACATGCATGTACGTAGGACAATGAAACATCACTTCCATCCCAATTTACTATACCTGTACATTTCTATTTTAAAACATTACAAAAACAAATGTACAGCCCTTATTTTTCATACTGTATGTTGGAGGTTACGGTTGGTCACAACATAAAAAACAGGGTTTGTGTTAGGCTGCAGTATATTAGTTTCCAAACAACAATCAACCCTTCAGATTCAGAGAGATGAGAGAAGCAGCCATCAGGTGGTCTTGACAAGGTGTTGCCAGCGGCTTTGTTACACTGTCGGCTCAACGGGGCCGTCTTGGAAACAAAACTACTTAAACACACAGCCGCTTGTTTATTCTACTGTCACATTTGTATCTAGGGTGAAAGAAGAATTAAAGGGCCCTATGTTAATACTTAAACCATTTTATTGGAGAAGATGATGAAGCTGATTAAATCAAGACCATTTATGATTCTGACCAGGAAGTTGGCCTAATGGTTAGTAAAGCTGCATCTTAACTGGTGGGCCAGAGTTACTGCTGGTGGTCTAACTTACAACACCAGCAGAAAATAGTCTTAAGGAAGTTTCACCCGCTGAGGCTTTTACAAATTGCAGGGCTAAAAGGCCATTTCCTTTTTAAAGACAATTTATTTAAATTGTCATTTATTAATATGAAAGCTGTGCATTCCTATATTCATAAACCTAATACAGTAGCCTATTGCCATGCTGTAGGTAGACGTAGGCTCTGAGAGGATGCACTGACCCAGAGGAAAAGCTGGCTTCCCCTCAACACAGTTCACACCCCAGCTGTGAGTCTGTCTGAGAGGATGAGAGCAGCGGATGAGGGGGGGAGCAGGGGAGAAAAGAAGGCTGCCACTTCTCCACTCTTTCCATCTCCACTCTTTCCATCCCCACTCTGTATTTCCTCACCGTGGCCTTATGCCCAAGGTCCCAGCCTCTGCTTGGAGAAGCACTGTGTGAAGCAGCGATGTAGCCGCCAGTCACTTCCTCCATTCTGTGTGCCGCCCGGGGGCTTTGACACAAATTGCGTGACCATTCAATTCCAGCTGCACCTATAAAAGGTATTGGAATGACTTTGACCTATAGTAGAGAAGGGAGAGCAAATGGTTACTGATTTATTGAATTATCAACTCAAAAGGCAATGTCATGATTCAGGCGTATAGTGTGCACCCACCGCGCAGCCGAGAAGATCCTAAAATAGCTCATATTGTGCCGCCTGGCTGATGCGTTGTCGCTTCCTGCCACTGGAAGTGAAACAAGTTCTGACTGTGGCCAGGGGTCCAAAGGCAAAGTCATTTACTGCCCAACTCCCCTTGGTGCTGACGCGCATATGAGGATTGGTGATGCAAGCCAGGAAATAGATGCACGCAGGCATTAGACGTGAACAGACACGCACTTGCATATAATCACACCACTTGGCGTGGTTCTATATGCAGCTGTTTCGGAGAATGTAAAAGTCGCAGAAATACACGTGCATCCTTTTCATAACCTGACGAATTGTCCCATCCAGAAGCCATATTTATAGCTTTTTATCATTTTCCTCCTTTGTCATCTGTCTCCGATGGAATTCATGGAGACTTGGACACAGCTGGATCCCCTCTATCTCTTCTAGTCTCAGTCTCTCTCCTGCCTCGTCTAATGCTTTCTTTCCACTCGGCTCTCTGCCCAGACAGCGACATAGCCCCCCCCCCCTTCTTCCCAATGTCTTGGAAGTGAAATATGCAGGTCTAAAAATATTCATCCACTTTATCCAAACAGCAGCAAAAAAAATGCTGTTGTTGGACCAGGAGTGGCCGACTTTTTCCCCTGGGCATTTTCTCTGGTTCCTGAGAACAGGGAGTCTGAGGTTGATGTCCAATCTTGCCAGGACAGGGAACGCATGTAATCCCTCTTGTCAGAATGTCTCTCATGCCATTCAGTTTAGATCCAAACATTTGAATGTTGCACGCTGCGTTTGAGCAGAGATTTTAGTCTGGATATGCAGATAATGCAGCTGATTTCATGTTCTTTCTCTAACTCCATCTCTACAGGAATATAACATTTTCAGCACTAAATGCTGCCTGTTGAAGGGATGGATGTTTTTATTTAAACCGTAAACCTTTCACCCATTTTGTGTTTTTACTGTTGAATTGAAATGTCCTGATAATGCTCTTGTATAATCTTCCGAGTAGTGGGTGATGTGGTACTGGATGAGTTTGTAAGCAGCGACAAGCTGGTTGGCACGATGGCCTCCTGAGCATTTGGATTAAACATGATGCAGCGTTTACTTTAAGTCTCACTAGACATGCCTCATTCACCCATACACAGCCACTGATGTCTTGTGCAATCTGTTTTTGAGTGAGCACCTATGTGGAAAGCTAGCTTGGCTGTTGGAGGAATGTAGGCTGGGCAAGAGCAGGTATGCCACTGGGATTTTAAGCAATGTCTCAGATGTTTAGTCTTCACATCACTTCCTTCAGTTGTTTAGCCTTGTAGTGGTGCCTGCAACACTTCTACAAGACTCAGTTCTGGTGTCCCGGAGCCTACTGCACACTTGGCACTGATCAGAAATATGCTCACGAATCATTTCTTGTCTCACAACAGCGGACAGCTGAATCTCCTAGCTGGAAACAGCATGGTAATGCGTCAAATGTATTACTCAAGGAAAGATTACTATCCAATATTTCACCCTTGTCTTTCCTCCTCAGATCTTCCCAGACCCCTCTGACTTTGACCGTTGCTGTAAGCTCAAAGATCGTCTGCCATCCATCGTGGTTGAGCCGACAGAGGGAGAAGTCGAGAGCGGGGAGCTTCGCTGGCCTCCAGAGGAGTTTCTGGTCAGTGAGGAGGAGGAGGAAGAAGAAGAGCAGAAAAATGGCAGCATCCAAAACGGACAGCCAGCACAGAATTCTCAGCACTAAAGTCTGTGATGTAGCACCCATACTCCCTTGTTTCCTCTTTCTCTCTGATGGACTCTCCGCTTCCCACACTGGTTACACTGCACCTCAGCACTGGCAGACACGCATTCAGTGTCCCTTGATGCCGTCTTGTTGCCCTTAACATCAAAGCAATACACACAGGCAACACACTTTCTCACACAATAATTGATCCACCTGGACTGCAAACCTGCCAAATCCCACTTGAAAAGAACAGACGCACACACACCTGCAACCTCCACTCATTTCCTTCCATGCCTACCACCGTGTGTGTCTCGGCCTAGACCGGATGTCCTGTTGGACAGTGGCAGTTCAGTGCTCCATGGACAGCTCTTAAACTGCAGGAGGCCAACACTCTGCTCTGTACTTTACTCCAAAATGGCTGGCGTCATGACCCCAGAGACTTTGTACTCTCATACAGAACTACTGTGGTGCCCTTGGGGATTATCGCCTACAGTAACACTGTCCATACTTGTGCTCGGTTTCTGGATTTATGTTTATTATTGTGATCGCCACTGCTGTCTATAGATGTCCGTTTCTGAGAAGTGAATGTTTTGTGATTTGTCTGTTTTTGAGAAGTGGGTGTTTTGTGTAAAATGTTACCAGGATCCCAACCCTGTTGTCTAAAAGATGATTTGACTTTTATGTCAGGCATTCAGTTAAAAGGCAACCTGGAATCATTCTAGAGAAATAAACCAGCATGTCCTGCTATGCTTGTACATGCATTCATTGTACAAAGGCTTGTTGTCCAGTGAGGGCAACGTGATGTGATCCTCATCACATTGACCTCCTGTGAGCCGTGTGACAAAACTACTTGGTTGACAAAGCAAAATAGTCCAACATTGAGAACCTAATCTGACAAAAGCAGGTTTACTGTTCCATTGGGAAAAGCTGAGTTAAGGACTGCAAATTGTATTTTTTTGAAAAAGCAGTTGATGAAGCAATGTACAGACCCAACGAAGGATGTGTAAATACTTGTTCCCAATGAGCCGACCCCTGAGGCCTTCTAGTGCGCTGATCTCGTGTGTACTATGGGTTTGGTTTACTTTTTAGAGACAGTGGGAACTAAGTCTTTCCTCGTCTTCCTTTTCTTTTTGAAAACGGCCATAATTTTGACACAAATAAGGTTATATCTGACAGTATTAAAAAAATACTCTTTCATAATAAAATTAGTCGGGACATTTGCCATAAGCTGTTTATTAGAAATTGTATTCGTTCTCTGGTAGCAATGTCTGTTTGATTTGTTTGTTTGCAATTTCAGAAGTCGGTGTTCTTTTGTTCACGCTTTAAATCGTCTTGTCAGTCTTTGTAGAAAATATTTCCCTTTTGTGTACACGATATGAAATCCTGTTGTACAAGCTTGATTGAGATGTCTGTTTGTTTTTGTAAATTCTCATTTGAGTGGCATTAGGGCTGTGTACAGAACATCTCTCTTTCTCCTGTCCCACATTGTTTTTGTAAAGCTCAGGGAGATTAGCCGCCATCTTTCTCTTGTTTTTTGTATTTAGACCACTTTTCTCTGACTATTGCAGAGGCTGTAAATAAACATTTGAATTTGCTATCCAACTGCGACTCTAGTGTGAGAATAATTGACTGAAGATTCATTGCCATTTTATGGTACAAGATGAAGTGAATGAGTCTTTTACAGGGCTAATCCTTCAGTGCATTTAAAGTATGTTTTCAAGAGACTTTACTTCTGTTTTTACTTTCAATTTGATTTATGTGAAGCCCCCCCCCCCCCCTCTTTTCCCCTCTCACTTCACCTTCAGTGGTTACAGAAAAGCAGCTTAACTTCCTGCTCCGCATCTCACGCACAGAATCGCTCTACGAATAGAGATCTGTGTATCAAATGCCTATATGTAGAAGCGAGAACAGGCCACATGCTACTTCCTGTCTTCAACTTGCACACACAATCCGACTCCTAGCAAAATCTATTTACCGAGCACCGAAGAGCTTTCATTTCCAGCTTCTTTAAATGTATCTTTTAAATATTTGAAAGAAGCTATTCAGCATTATGGAGAACATTGGTTTGACTTTTTTTTTTTTTTTTTTTTTTCTCCCCCCCCCCCCCCCCCCCCCAAAACTGAAATATTGATAGTACAGGGTGGAAACAACTCGTGTTCTACCCATAAACACTCACCACAATGATACAAGACTAATAAAATGTTGAGTGGAAAAGCTCTAATGGGGATCTGGGGCATTCACAGGAATAAACGGAATGCTTTCTGTTCACTGTTGCAATGGAAACTTCTCGGGTGATTTGCTGCTTTGTACTGTATTAGTGACCCGATAGGTCAAGTTTGATTGCTAAGTACCGGAACAGTCCATCAGAGTTGCTTAGGTAGGGCCTTTGGAGGGCCAAGAGCCTGACAGATTGTGCGTGGTGGTGCTCTCAGGGCCTTGTGGTCACTTTCTGAAAGGGGAACAATGAACTGACATTCTATCCTGCTTCCTTCCTGGAAAAAAAAAATGGAGCATAAAGAGTTATTAATAGCCCCCAGCTGATAATGGTGGTCAGCAGCATAGTGTGTGTTTGGCCCAGAGAGCCTTCAGAAAAGAATTGTCCTTTGTCCCTCTCTTTAAAAACTGCTCCTAGATCACAGTGGAAAATGTCATGAGATCACGGAAAGAAGTAATTCTAAGAAGTTTAAAAAAAGGAACAACTGCAGTCCTTGAACAAGCATCCAGCTACGCAACCATGTGACGTCAGTCAGACACCTCTGAACTTTGCGTTGTCTTTCAAATATTGTTGGGAGGAATAGTGGGAAAGCAATAAACTTCAGTTTTAACAAAAGTGGTCCTGTGTTTCTGGGGCTTAGGGAGATATGAAAGGAAGGCCCTGAAGCAGCTTATAGCATTTTGACATTTGAGCCGCCCTTATCCTCTCAACTGATTAAGTAGGGAACCTTTGCAATAAAAAAAAATGTATTTCCAACTCTCAAAGAGATCTCACTTTAAAGGCCCTGGAGACCTATTTTCTCAATCAGCTTCTAATGAATGATGGGGTCCTGCATCAAAACATTTTCTGCAGTCTTTTATTCTGTGCTTTTCTCACTGGTTCGAAGTTTGGAAAAAGGTACTGTGACAAACATTCATGCACCAAACAGGACTTAGCAACATGTGAATCATAATGCAGTTGTGGGATATGTTGTCACTATAAAAAACTGCTAAGCTAACTCGCTACTGGCTTCAGTTGCATATTTACTGTATTTCATATTCAGTGAAATACAATGTATTTCATATTAAGTGTGGAATCTATCTCCTTATCTAACTCTCTGCAATAAAGCGAATGAGGACGTTTCCCGAAATATCCAACTATTAATATATAACCCTTAAAGATGCTTTTCCCAATAACTTTACATTATACAAAACATGTTAAGATTTTAAATAAATTTTCAGGGGTTTAATCTCATTTTGTGTGAACATGCCCTCATGTTTTTGTGATTTTCTGAGTGCAGATTTTAATCATTTTATCTCTTGTGTGAAAGAATTTTTTTTTACCACTCTGTTGGTGGTCAGAGATGACAGCATTCATTTTGCAAACAGTGGGATGAGTGAGAGTCACTCAGTGACATAGGGGAATGGAGTGTGTCTGGCACACCACTTTCGGCGTGAGACACAGTATCTTTAAAAGTGTGTGTGGGAGCGTGTGTGCCTAGCTATGTATTAAAACTGTTGTGAGAGCCCTCTGAGTGAAGTCACTGATAGCTCTTCTAGCTCATTCTTGGAATTCTTTCCAATGGAAACAATCCCATCGCTGATCCCACTGTGTCAGCAGACTCTGACCTGCCAGCCCCTGAGTTCTCCCTGACTCCCAACTATAGTCCACATTAACGCTGTTTCACAGTCACCCCCTCTACACACAAACTCACACCATGTACCCATAACATGACCCCTCCGTCTTCAATCTGGTATGTCATGAGGAGAGAAATAATGCTTATCCAGTGAATACGTTCACTCCCCCTCTTCACTTTTTTTTTTCTCCAATGTCGTTGTTTTCTTGTTCTATCTATTTTTCGCTCTCCCAGACCTTTATCCCATTCTGTTGTTTCAGCAAGTTTCCCATACTTACATGACAGTAGAAATGTACTCTGCATTCCCACAGTGCCGGTTATGTAAGTTAACATTTCATTATAAACAGCGCCCCTGTTCTTATAACCTTGCTATTTCAGTGCTGCAACCTTATTGTATAAGCCACCAAGGTTTATGTGTTTGTGCAAAGCTTGCAAAGGGGCACGTGTGCGTGGAGGTTTCATGTATAACCGTGTCTGTTATTATGATGAGTATGTGCGTAAGGGAAAGATTCTTTTCCCATGGTTCCTCAAGTGTGAGAAGAAAGTAGAGCTCTCAGGACATGAGGCAAAAACTCTAGCTAGTTATTTATAACCTGTCTGGAGACGGCCCACCAAGTGTAGACACATATCTGGCACTGTCAACAAGGGAAGAGCTAGAATAAGATACGCTGAGAGGCACACAACAATGAGGGAAGATAAAAGGTGACGGGGTCAGGGAAGGAAAATTATGGATGTCGAGGAGGTAAAAGAACTGCATGAAATGGATAAATCACAGGTTAGAGACCGGTCGTCTCTCTCTTGGTCGCCAACTTAGATAACACTTGAGATGAGATAAGGCTAAATGCAACCATAGCAAAAATGATACTTGGGAACTTGCTTAGTGTCACTACCCTCATAAAATTTAACAAGTGTACTTTCCATATGACACTACAAACAGTATGGATGGAATGAAATGGAAAAAGAGAAATGCATGAGACCTCTAGAAGTCACTTTGTTGCAATCTGTCCTTTTCCAGAATCTGGTTTAAGTTGATGTTTTTAGGACTTTTTAGCTTTATTGCCCAATTTAAAACATTTATTATAAAAGTAATCAAATGTATTAAGTTAATTGCTTTTCCAAAAGTAATTAAAATAGCTACATTACATCAATTTTAACAGGGTAACTAGTGATGTTCTTCCCAACACTGGCCATGCGATACACCAATCGAGAACAGAGGACCGCAAAGTAGTGATTGCTATTCAAAACAAAGCCTCCACAACATCCAAATTAATCAGAGTCAAGCATACTCCAGACTCTGCCAAACTGCTGCACGTCAGCAGACCAGCCTTTGAAAACAACACATATTTGGACAGACAAGTCTCAGCACCCAGGGACCTATTCTCTATTTAACAGGGTGATGTAGGGTGCATCTCCATCTCATCCTCAAGCCTTTAAAGCTTTGATCAATACAAGTCTGCTGGCGTCCACACTATACTGTAGTTGTGTGTTAACATGCTAAGCCACCGGCCGCTGCTCTTCTATAGGCTGTTGTTGATATAACAGACATATTATGACCCTGCCACTTTAATCCTTTATTGCTTAGAGACCACGATGGAAAAATGGAGAAAAGAAAGAGGAAATAGGATCAAGACGGAGATAGCACAGAGAAATCAAGATGCAAAACTGGAATTACAGTGTCGTGTTACAGGTGTGAGGTCGGGACATGTTTTCAATGTGAAGAGGAAGTGAGGTGAAAGAGAAGAAGACTCAAGCTAAATCATCCTTGTCCCCTCTTTGAACTTCCACCAAAGCACAAGAGGTCACTAAAGGCAAGAATGTTTAAAAAAAACAAACTAGAAGAGTTTGTTCCCCAATAAAGCCTTGTTAAAGTGCTATCAATATCCATTAACAGCAAAACAAAACATAGTGTACAATGCCTGAAACATGAATTAATGTTGCTGGTTATCTGCTGCATGTCTTACCTCCCATGTCGCTTTTATCAGCAAACACAGCTTAAGTGTACATGTTTTATGTTTTTAATGGATTAAAACGTCTGTGATTCTTACCAGAGGGCTTAGATATTAGGAATTCTCAAAGGGAATATGATTAGGAGTACCTGATCGAATTGCTTTTGCTAAATTATCTTGGACGAGGGTCATTAATCATGTGAACGTGCTTTTCTTTTGAAGGTGAGTTGGCACTAAACCGAAAAAATGAGAGCTTGTTTCAAAGCAAAGTTTTTCCGTTCCCCTTTTGAAGTGATGCGTTGACCCTTGAGAAGTTTATACTGACAAAGCTATACAGTTCACTCAGTCTCTCAGATAGAGTGCATGCCATAGGGAGCAGGTCATGGAAAAGTCTTGAGTTTGACTAAGTGTACTCTCTCTTTTACCTTGTCTGTCAGTCTGACTCAACCTCACACACACACACACACACACACACACACACACACACACACACACGACAAAATGTGCATGCTCGGATACGCTCAGAAACATTGACCAATCTACGCACACACACATCTCTGACTGCTGAGGTAATTTGTAACAGTAGAACACCTCATAACTGCGGGTAAAAGAAACAAATGACACATGCTAGGATTTATACTACTTTAAAAGGAATTGTTGGGGGGGACTCAGTCGAGAAGTATATCATCAATACCACGCTTGAGATTTGAATGAGATCTGACATATTATAAACATGGGGATCTCGAGGAAGAACACCGCAATGTGAGCGAAACCTCTTGAGCTCGGAGAAGGGGATTATTGAGAACAACAATGATTACAAAAGTGGGCATACCTTTCCTTTCATTTGAGGGAAGCATGATTTAAAGATACGTACGTCTATGCAGAGGTTACATTTCCAGAAATTAAGTAGGCTATCAGGTAGAGTCTGTTGAAACAATGTGAAGACTTCTGGGTATTTACTCTTAAACACTCCAACGAAAGGGCATGAAAGATTAACTTCTCAGTGTGTTGTAAACTATTCATGTTCATTGTTAAGATGTATTAATAGAGGAAGTAGAAGAAGAAGAAGTTACTGTCAAGACGTTACTGTCAAGAAGAAGAAGAAGAAGAAGAAGAAGAAGAAGAAGAAGTTACTGTCAAGTAAGTTACTGTCAAGAAGTTACTGTCAAGAAGAAGAAGAAGAAGCTTCTTTATTAATCCTGCAAGGGGAAATTCAATTTGTTTTATAATTAAAAGAATGATATTTTGATAAGGTATTCCGATAATTATTTTTTTTTTAATTCTCACCTCATTATGAATGTTAACATTAATTCAAATGACGATGCTGATTAACTGTATTAATTAATTTTTGGGGTATTGCCAACTTAATCTCGATGTCTAGGTACAATTTTGAGGAACTTGTTCTCGAGTATTGTCATTTTATGCTACTTTATTCTTCTACTCTACTATATTTTGAGGAAAAATATTGTAGTTTTTACTTAACTACAATTATTTGACAGCTATGGTTAAACGTTACTTTGAAGATTATGATCGGATTCTAAAATATGACGCAACATTACAGATTGAACTATACAAACAATATAAAGTAGCTACAAATAGCTCCACCTCCGCCAGCTATAACATTAAAAATCCTGCTCGGCATTAATACAACTGATGTTATTATAAGGAAATAATATGACAATAATAATAATACAACACTCACAGGGCCCTTTTCCCCAATACAAGACTTTATCAATACTTTAACTTTGGCACGGTTGAAGTGCATGACTTTTATTTATGATTGAGTATGTTTACATTGTGGTATTACAATTTTACATTGTTAAAGATATGAATAGGCCTACTTCCACCACTACTGGGACTTACAGTAGCACCGCCTACCTCTCTTCCTTTGCACCTCCTGCAAAGACCTTGAGTGAAGGTAGTTTGACTGCAGCTTAAAATATAACTAATACCAACAACCATAGTCACAATCAACATGTGAAATATTCATAGTATTCACTTTAGCCAAGTTTGCTCCACATGCTGCAGTTTACTGTCATCTCCTCGTCGAATGCAGCTTGCAGAAACAGCACCCCCTGTTGGTGTCTGGGTGTAAGGACAGGTGAGAGGTAACAAGTTGAAAGGTCGTGTTAGCAAGACGGTAAGGCGGCTACACTTTTGCTGCATTCATACTAAGTAAAGGCAATTAAAGAAAGCGAATTTTTCCGTGTGCTAATAACTTGCGAAAAACGAATCGGTTGGGAAACGGTTCCAACAGGCGTCAGCTTTGAGGATCAGTAACGCGTATAAGCGGTGCTCGCTTGTTAGCTAACGTTAGCAGGCTGCTAGCTGGCTTGCTAAGTTACTATGTCGCAACAAAGTGCTTGGACTTATTGGAGCTAACATAGCTAGCTCACCTAACGGAAATTTACTTTGATTCTAGAGGAAAACAAGAAAGGTGGGTATTTTGTCACCCTACGGTGTGTAATATATATTAGACAGTAGTCAGCCCTGTTAACATGAGCAGGTTAACTATGGCTAACAGGGGCTAGCCTATGTTTCATGTTAGATTTAGTGAATTACCATTCATGTTGTTTTACCCACTGTCATAACGGAAACTATTCCATCAGCCATCTAGTACGAGTCCACATAATCCTCACCATTGTTTGTGTTAAGTTATAGGGTTGTCACTTATTTGCATGTAACGCTGGGGTTAAGTAATTATTTACGAAGCAACGTGCTAACCGAAGGGATTATTATTTACAGACAGAAACACGACACATCTAGTGTCGGGCCTGCTTGTGTAGTTGAAGCACTTATTTTAACGTTAGCTCGTGTTGTCTTTCTGGTTTAAGTCGTTATTGTCATGGTTGTTGGTGTCAGTGGATATATTGCATTTGTTTCCCCACCTGTGTGCAAATAGTATGCATACACAACACATATCAGCCACACACAACCTGCCTGTGAGGGCTCCTTGAAAGTGGTTGGACACTCACACAGTGAGTTTCTGGAGTACAGAAAAGGTACTCCAGAAAACCAGTCCAATTCCCTTAAGATATTGCCCAGTAATTTACATTATTTGTTGTTCTGCCATTCAGGCCGTCTGCTTGTCAAAGGATATCAAAAATGTATGGAAGGATTTTTGGAAATTTGGTTGATATTGAGACATTTTATTATATGCACGCATACATACTACGTGAATAAATCATATCAATTTCTCATATGAGGGATATGGACAATGTTTGTGGATATCACAGCAAGTTGGAGCGTTGGCCAGTTCTGGAGGAGGTTATGTTTCTCTCCAAGTAGACCTGCACTTAGTATTTGCAATTAATTTTGCAGCATTGTCTTTTCCATTCTTCCCCTCACTCTCTTTTGTTCTATGTCTCTTTGTTAACACACACACCACTCAAGCTCATTGTTTAGCCCAGACATGCTTGACCTCTTCACTCTGCTCTTCTCTGTTGGGATGTCTGGTCTTGGCTTAAAGTAAGGAATGCAAAATGATTGCCTGAGAAGTCAGACTTGGACTATGAGGAGTATGCTTTGCATTGTGTGTGGTGGTGGTGGTGTGTTTGGGCAAGTGCTTTCAGGATCATTGCTATCTTGATTTAAACAAATGTTAAACCAGCCCAAATGGATGGGACTAAATCAAACCACAGGTGGTGCTTGTTTGGAGTATGGAAACAAAAAGTGTTTCCGTGGATGCCTTAAAATACATGGTGTTATGTCCCAGGTGTCCACGCCGAGTGGAAGAAAAACATGTTTATTTAACACCTAAATGTTCATAGTTCCATTCACTTTTCACATCACTGGCTGCAGGTGTGTCGTGCCTTTTTTGCTGTATGTATGAATAGGCTTGTCAGCTTGTTCCAGGAGCCACCCAAGGGTGTACTTTTTGTGTGTGTGTGGGGACACGGCCTAATTGTGCTGAGCGAGTGTGTTTTCTCACCTCTCGCGTGCCTCACAATTTTTCCGTTGTTAAAACCAGTAACCCATAAACCCTTATTGCCATTATAATCATGCGCGCAAACACACTTGCATATTTTTAAATGCACCTTCAGCCACTTTGGTTGCTGCTGTGAGACTTGCTGAGTCATGGTGTGGACGAGGGCAAGGTGATGGGAGTGTTGGGGCCAGGTAGTTCAAAGTAACGGCTTCATAACAATAATTGAAGTGGAAAGTGTGAACTGCAGGTCATATGTAAGGGAAGAAAACACCTGTTGAATGAAAATGGCTCCCTGTTGCACCAACTCAGACTCCCTGCATCAGCAGGCTCAATCAAATTAAGACTCGCTGTATTTCCACTTTTAACCATTTTATCTCTGAGGACGTTCTAATTTATTTGCTTTAGTGCTTAGTTTAATTTGAGTTAATGTCATTGTGTGGTTCGGTTGTTTGTCTGAACTTGCATGCCAGTCAGCAATATTCTGCTTATTTAATTACACAAACTAGATCCAACTTACATAGACAGACACTTTTTTTTTTGTTTTTCAGTTTATTTACTCAGCCCTTCATTACAGGTGTCTCAGCATGTAGCAAGTGCAGCACATCAAATCATTTGACATTAATTGACTTCCTCGAGGGCAATTTGACTTGGTTCCTTAGACTGTTATTCATCCACTAGCCCCAGTTTTTAACATTTTGATTTGACTGCATGGAAATAGTATTTCTGGGCACTGAAGTCGACTTTGTGTAGAGGCTATTTGGACTTTTTTTAAAGGTCGCGCACACCAACAAAGTAACAGGGGTTCTCGGGTTTCGTGGGGCCACACTAGGAATTTCATCAGCTCACCAGAGTCTATGCACTAATGAGGTACAACTAAACAGGTGCATCAAAATGAGCAGGAGAAAAAGGGACACTTTAGCCAAGCACACAGTCCTGTGGAGAGGTCTGATTAGGCTAAACAAGTGGAAACACCTGTGTGTGTATACCATACGTAGGACACGTTCCATTACCATTGGAAACTGAAGTGGTCACCACTGATGTCATTGAAATGACAAGGGACTCCCATTGGCATGTCCAGATGAGCCCCTTTAAACTTATCTGGGTATGTCATGGACAACTGAAGATCTTGTTACCTGGTTTTGGATTTCAGAAGGCTAATTACAGGCTCAGTTCACATCCCTCCGGCATCTAATGACCCTGTGGTGCTTCTGCCATGTTGCAGCTTCTGTGGAGATCACGCTTAACTATTCTTAGTTTATTCTATGTAAATGGTTTCAATTTACGTTCAATCTAGAGCATCGGTGTCTATGCTGTTTGTTTTTATTTCAAACCAGTTGCCACATTAGCTGTCTTAAAATGGCCTAGTATTGCCTATACCTGTGTGAATCATGAGGATAATTATCAAACCAAGAGATGAAATCAAAGCACAGCAAAGTTTAAGCTTTATCATTTCAATTCTAACTTCTTTTTTTGTTGTAATTAATTCCACTCATAATATCAGGATAGATGGCGCTCAGAGATAACCGTCATAGCGTCGGGTGCATTCAATGTATTTAGCAACTTATTTATGGAAAAATATTGAATAATGTCCTGCTTTTTTTTTATCCGCATTATTGCCTACAATGGCTGAGTAACCCACAGACATTGAAGGGATAGCCACCACGGTGCAGCAAAATAGTCCAGTTACACCTAAAAGTTATTAAAAAGATTATACATGGATATAGCTGGGATATATTTTAATTTTAGGAACGTGAGAAAATGTTCCTCAAAGTTTAAATGCCACTGAACATAATTTGGAAGCCACAGCCACACTTGATTTACTGACCATGCAGCCAGTGTTTGTCACCCTCAGTCAGAGAGGTTCCCCTATTTACATTCCACCCTCGGTATGTGTGCCCTGGACCTTCCACTGTTTGTGGGGAATGATACCAGAGGAACAACAGAACAGCATTCTTTGTTATTGATGAGACTATTGATAGTCCAATGTGTGTCATGTTACAGAGCTGCTCCCCTTCAGCTGCTTTCCACAGTGGAAATCCAAGTCGGGAATGAATTCTATGAATGTCGTCATTTTTTTTACATAGTCAGCTCAAACTGATGACTCGCTCGTGAGCTTCTATCCAGGTTAATCTCGTCTCCTTCCTCTCCCCACAGATGGCTGTGTCGGTGCGAGGCCTGTACTTTGTGGTGACCCTGTTTTTGGGCAGTTTCTTCGGAAGCGTCTTCATGCTGGGTCCAGTTCTGCCTCTCATGCTGCTGTCCCCCGCTTGGTACCGCTGGATCACTGATCGCATCGTCGCTACCTGGCTCACCCTGCCTGTGGTGTGTACGCCAGCTTATTCTTTACTTAGCCCACTAATGTGCCGGCCAGATGGTCCTAAGTCGCCCGTGTTTGACACACACTCATGGTCGTCTGTTTCATCTCAGTTGTTGTTTTTGCCACCTTATGTAACCAGATTTTCATTTTCATCATAAGTACACGTCATTTATTTAGATTGCCCCTTGAGAACAATTATGCAAAATTTGTTTATAGTGACCCCATAAATTGAAGGCATTATTTATGTATTTTTGTCCTCACTTTTGGCTCTCTTAAATCTATCTTACCACCTTTACTCTTCCCAGTCCCTCCTCTCTCCCTCTACATCCTTTTTCAATGACCATTTGTGTCTCCCCTCTCCATTTTCCTCCCTCTCCCTGCCCTTTCCGTTCTTCCCTCTCTTGTACTTCTTCTTCGTCGTCGTCCTCCCTCCGTCCCGGTGTCTCTCCCCTCTGCAGTCGTTGCTAGAGCTGGTGTTTGGGGTGAAGGTGGTGATCACAGGTGACGGCTTTGTTCCGGGTGAGCGCAGTCTGATCATCATGAACCACCGTACACGACTGGACTGGATGTTTCTCTGGTGTTGTCTGCTCAGGTACAGCTACCTTCGTATGGAGAAGATCTGCCTCAAGGCCGCCCTGAAAGCTGTGCCTGGCTTTGGTGGGTATACAGTGGGTCCTGTGAAAAGACGCTGGTTTGAGAGCAGTACATTACGAATTTTGGTTGGGGGAAATTATTCTGGGAAATATAACCCTGACTCTGCCTGCTTTTGAAAACGTTCTCCCGAATCAGTTGAGCTTGAGAAATAATCAATTACACAATTTGTCTGTGTTTTCCAGGCTGGGCTATGCAGGTGGCCTGCTTCATCTTTATTCAGCGCCGTTGGGAGGACGACAAGAAGCACATGGAGAACATGCTGGACTACTTCTGCGACATCAGAGAGCCCCTGCAGCTGCTACTGTTCCCGGAGGGCACAGACCTCACCGGTAATGTAATAAACAATGCAACACGCCATCCATTCAGGGGACAGTTTGCCCACATTTTCAGTTGTTCTTTCTCCGAATACGTTACCCACCAACCAGTTTTCAGAGCTCAGTTTGGCCCTACACCTGTCTAATACCTCTGCACTGACACTGTTATTCAGACAGATTTTCCAAGTCATAAGGCAGAGCGAAATCCCTCGACACACACACAAACACACACACACACACCCCATACAGTCCTTTCTGCAAGAATGCTCTGATCTCTCGAGGCAAGCTCCAGCGACACCGGTGTCTAAAGCCCTTTCAGACCACCACTAAGCCAATCAAAGTCCCCGAGTAGCTTTACTGAGGGAAGCTTAACTTCCCTTGACATGCCATGATGTCATGAGGGGGTCCAGTGAAGTTGCATCATAATTGGCCAGCAGATTTAGGGCTTTAAAGAGCACTTCACTTTTGGTGTTGCGTTCGTTCCTGCCCGCGCACAGACGTGTGCATTTAAGCCTCTTAAACCTCGAGGCTTAATCTGACGCAAACAAGGGGACGTATACAGCATGTAGTGACGTCGAAGTTATCCTGTTTGTTTTTTTTACTCGCGGTAACACATTGACCTCCATCTACAGGATCGGTTTCGGAGTGCACTTACTCTTACTGTAAGCCGCTCTAAACATTTCCATAACCCCCTTTTTGAAGCGTGTCCAGCTTGTGTGAATTGAAAGAGCGACTGTATAAGAACGACGAGTCACGGCTTCGGGCAGAGCCCTGATCACCATAAATCTGTCCAGAGTCCTTTTTGTCCCACGAGCCGGCCGGAACGAGCTACTTGTTGCATAACATAATGAGTCATGATATAGTTTCCATGTTCCTGAGGAATGTTAATAAATAATCATCTTTCCTGTGTTTATATCCCCCGGTAGTTTTTACAAATGTGTAAGCGTTTGTCACTGATCGATGTATTTTGTGAATGTGGAACATTATTATTCGTTTAACTGCTATTTTTATGACGCCATACTTTGATTTTTGCTGTTGTATCTCTTGTCAGCCAAGTTTGGCTTTTTGTGATAATGATACCTTACACACGTATCATATTTATTTCATATTTTACGGCATATTCAGTGATCATTTCACAATAAAAATTAGATTGTAAGGCTACTCTGTATGTCAGCAGCTGTTAGGTACAAAGTGTGAATGAATCCAAATAGACACATTGGATGTAGATACATTGCATGTGATAATTTTAGTTATTAGAAAATGGAAATTCCATTTTCAGTTGTGCTTTAAAATAAGTAAACAGCTATATAAGGGTATCTTTTTGATTTACAACGTAATCCAGTGATTTCCATTGCCAGAGGTTTATTGTGTATGTGTGTGTCTCTTGCAGAGAATACGCGAGCAAAGAGTGACGTGTTCGCTGCCGAAAACAACCTGCCGAAATTCGAGTACGTGCTGCATCCCCGCAGCACTGGATTCACCTTCATCGTGGACCGACTCCGAAAAGGTTCGGGCCATTTCTGAAACCATGAAATGTCTATATTAAATACGAAAAACCATACGCTCGTAATGCAGATGTTGTTGTTAGTTGGCAGTCAAACGGCAGCATGTTTTTGTCGATTGGCACTATTTGGTCGCAGTCATGATGATCAGCAAAACCACGGGAAAGTAAGCTGATATCATGATGATTGCAGTTAATCCACTGACGCAGCTTGTTTGGGAGGACTCACACTTGTTATTCTTCGGTCTCACAGGCCTGTGCTTCATCCTCATGCCAGCCATTACAACACCCGAAAGAATCTCATGTTTCCCTATGAGCTAATTGTGGCAGTCCTCCAGAGTTCTTAAACACCACCTCTGGTTCTACCGTCTCATCCCCCGTCCTGCTGAACAGGTGTTGTGAATCAGCGTGATGTCGCCAGGCTAATTCTGCCCTCCCCGGTCTCTGTACCGCTGACGGACACGCTGTGCACGTTGCCTTTTGTCCGAGTCCACGGTGCCCCTCACAGCTCTATTTTTGATAGAGCTGTGAGGTGAGCCGGGCTGTACAGGAGCAGGCGCTGGCAGGTGTCGTCCTGTCCACTTGATATTTCATTCAGCTCTATACGTGCGTCGTAAGGGCACTGCGGATAAGTGACGACGGTATAAAGCTCGTGGTAGTTTTGAGGGCCGAGAGGAGATGAAGCTCTAAGCCCCGGGATAATTAGAGGTACATGTGTAATGGAGCTCAGGGCTGGGATTTTGAAGGGTGCATAAAACAGTTCCAATAACCGGTGTGGATGTGGGGAAAGGGATAATATTAAGTTTCCCTGCAGTGTCATGTCGGGAGGATGACTTGTTTTGTTGTTCCTTCGATCATTTATAACTGCATCCCTTTTTTCTAGGAGATAACCTGGATGCTGTCCATGATATTACAGTGGCCTACCCCAAGAACATCCCTCAGACAGAGCGCCACCTCATCCTGGGACTTTTCCCCCGTGAGATCCACTTCCACGTCCGCCGCTACCCGGTGACTTCCCTGCCCGCCTCGTCCTCCGACCTGGAGTCCTGGTGTCGCGAGCGCTGGGCCGAGAAAGAAAGCCGACTGCGGGACTTCTACTCGGGCCAGCACCGGGGCTTCGATAGGGACGGCGTTGTGCTCGTGCCACCTTGTAAGACGGAGCTGCGAGTGTCTTTGATCAAAGCGGCCTCGCTGCTCTACTGGACCAGCTTCATTGCTCTGTGCTTCACCAGCCTGTGGCTGTGGGCTCCAGTCAGGCTCTACTTCCTGGTCATGGTGGGAGTGTATACGGCCCAGCAGAAGCTGGTCGGCGGGGTGGAGCTGCTGGAGTTGGCCTGCCATCGGTACTGGAAGACGATGGCCGCCACTGTGGATGAGAAGAGTAAGGTACAGGCTGGGAAGATGCAGTGAGGATGGAAGACACACTGACTTTGACTGGACAATGATACGTTTCCACCTACACTCCGCAAGGACACTGAGGACTCGGTTGTCTTGGCCTGTTCAGTCCAGAGGGCAAGAGGATCCTGATGAGGGACCCGATGCTCCACGCCTTAGAAACGGGAGCCATGAGTTAACTTCCTCACGGTGTGCATGGCTTCAGTGGAGAGAGCGTACTTTTCTGTCGAAGAGGAATGTTATTTACATTTATCTGTGTTGCATTCAAGGAGTCCATCACACATACTGTGTCACTTGCCCTTTGTACGTCTCTCCTCGTAGGAACGCTGTTGTTTAGCTTGCTCTCGCTGCATTTTATTAGTTTATGGTGTTTTATTGTACTTGTTTGTTCAGAACCTCTGTGTCGACATGCGTCATGAAACAATGCGGTTAGTATTCCTCATACTGTTGCCATGTCTTTGCAACTCGTTTTATTGTTCGCTATGTTGCCCTTGGTTTTATATCCGTGTCATAAATTATGGAGCAGAGCCATAGTACAGCGCAGCTGTACATAGGATGACTTGACTCTAACCCATATTCAAATCAGCACTGCAGTGAGCTGGATTAGACAGACGGGACTAGTTAAATGAATCTGTTTCATTTACTAGTCTCTAGCGAGGAAAGAAAAGGATTGATCTAATTCCCAGAGAATTACAAAGGAATATACAGGTATATATGTGTACCATTGTTTACCTTTTGTGGGTCTAATTACCCTTTTATACACATTTGGGAATGAAGTGTTCCCCGTTAGTCATTATAGATAACTTGTGTGACGATGTTTTATTACTGTAAAGGTCTCGAAACATAAACTATGTTATTCTCTTTGTTCGCTCAACTAGCTTTTGCACATAAAAGCCAAAAGGTGAGAAAAGCAGACGTGATTTTAAAAAGGAAACCAAATCAGAATGTAGTCTGTGTTGTTAGGAAACCCTGTTAGGGGACCCTCGCCCAGCCATGAGGTAACATCCACTCATCACGATCAGAGATCTGACTGAGACCTGTCTGTAGAAGCAGCTGAGCTTTGTGCCCTTTTCTGGGACTGGAGGGGGCTGCCTTTTAGAGGCAGGATGTGGGTGGTTGTGCTGTGGTGGAAGAATGTCCTGTTGGGACAACATTGCCCCTCCATGTGCAGGGTGGCATGGAGGACCAGACTTGGAGTGGAAAACTGGCCACTGAACTCGACCTAATCCAAAAAAGCCCTGTAATGCCCACCTCTGCCCGTGTCCCTCTGTAGAGGGCTGGCATTGATGCGCCTGCTAAACTCGATTAGCAAGTGACAGCTGAGAAAGCCGCTCCAATTGTGCCAAAAAAGGACAGAAATTGAAAGAAGATTGGAGCGGCGCTTCAGCCACACTTATAACCACTGACTCTCCTTGCCACTCAATACCATGGGAGTCTGAAAACTTGTGTGTCTCAGACAGTCTACAGCACTTTCTGTAACACTGTGCGACACCCATTTGTCTTTGACTGAATCGTCTTTTTTTTGTTGTTGTTGATATGAATCAGAAGCTCCTGTAGTTCATGTGTAAAGAGGCTGCGTCCAGTCACTGTGATCCAGCTGTGTTAACACTTTTTACTATCAGCATGTAGTAGTTTACCAAACATGGTCCTATATCTGTCTCATCAACTCCTGAACCAGCCACAATCTCCACATATTACTCTGTAACCGTCTTCTGTTGCTCATTTTACAATCACTCGCTGATGCTGGACCTCTTCAAAAGTCACTGTCCTCAGGTAAACAAGAGTCCGTCCCTTACAGGAGGAAATGTATATAGAAATAAATATACTATATCGACTCATGTTTCCAGTCGTTCTTTCGAGTTTCGTTGCCAACCTGTGAAATGTCTACTACTGATTGTACGACTAGTGACACTTGTATCTTTTGATTAATGGTGTAATAGCTCACGTCTTTAGATTGACGGTAACATCGGCTGACATTGCAGACGTTATAGTGTGACGTAGGAAGCGTGACGGTGCATTAATTTATTCATCGTTCCACTCGTGTAGAACATTTCCATCACCCTGATGTTTTTTTTTGAGTTGCTGCAGAGCGTCTTGTGTATTGTCTGGGCAGCCCCTTTAATCTAGAATGTACTATAACGATCCCCACACTGCAGTGAATGAGTCAACAGGACCTTGAATGCTCATGTTACACAACACTGGGGCCGCAGTTTGCACGCAAACACACACACACACACAATCTGGTCTACTGTAGACGACCAAAAAGGTCAGGAGCTTTTGAAGGTGAAGTGCAGTCGCCATAGAAACCACTGTTGACTCCCCTGTCTCCTAGCAACGGGATGTAGAGTGATGTCAATGGAAAGCGTGCTATTTTCTCCTGCTGACGGAATGATGTCACTCTGTGTGTGTGTGTGTGTGTGTGTGTGTGTGTGTGTGTGTGTGTGTGT